CAGGCAAAAATGTCTGTATATTATTATTAGGTTTTTTTTTAAGATTTGTTTATTTATTTATTTGTTTGTTTGTTCAGAAGCGCGGGAGGGTGAGAGAATTCACCAGAGCAAGAGCAGGGAACAGAACAGGCAGACTGACGAAATACACTGCTGAGGGGAGCAGCGGGCACAACAGGAGAGGTCTGCGCACCATGTGGGACCCTTGCTGGCGGCCAGGGATCGAGCCGGCACTGCCGAGGCTGCGGGTAGCTTTCACAGCCCAGCGCTCAACTGCTGCGCCACCAGGGGAGGCCCTATTATTACTGGTTTTTAATTCTCCATTCCTCATAGGTCTTTCATTTCTAGCCGATTATGTTTTAGTTTCTTTTTGCCTTGCCTGTCAGTGCTTTGAAACACTACTAGACTGGGAGAACATTGTGCTTTCAGGTGATTTTGGTACCTCTTTGCATATCATTCAGTTTCAGATTTCAGCAAATGTATAATGGGCTCAATCATATGTATGTTTGAGGCCCTAAAATATGAAATTTTATCTTTCTACCTACATGTTACTGACTTAAAATTCAGATACAGTGAACAAACAACTGCCAGTTTTGACCTGTCCTTTGAGCAGTTCTCACCTGCTTGGAAATACATTCATTCAGTCTTTGTTGCTTTCAAAACTCTTTGATATCTTTGATGATTTATAATTTATAAGATTTTCCTAGTTATTGTCCTTAAGAATACTAGCCTTGTCCTACTGTTACCCAGAACCAGACATTCCCTGTTATGTTTTGATTTAAATGCTTGGATGAATGTTTCTGATGAGTGATCTTTTTTTAAAAAAAAAAAGTCATTAATTATTTGAATGCTTTCTGTCCTTATTGGTTTTATGTATTTTGAGAAGTTTTTGATGATTAAGAAAACTGAGATAATTTTTATAAATCATGGATTCTGTGATAAAAATAATAGCTGAAGCCAAACGGATAGAGGAGAAAGTATGCTTTGTGTTTTGGGACTGCCTGTGGACATATGGATGGCACTCTAAGTTTACCGGCCACTACATCTCGTTTTGAGAACCATTGTCATGTAATATTTCTCTTCCTTACCTGTGACTTTTTGTTGTATGGTTTAAAATTAAATGTCAAACAACAGTAGTATTTAATGAAAATTGTAAAATGGTTTAGTGAAGTTTTGTTGTGTTTTTATAATGGGTAGAAACCTAATGCACATGATGCACTGAATTTAGAAAGAATTCATTTTCTTTTAATCATCTATACTTATATACTGAGTATTTTTAACACTGTATTTATTTATCTCACATGCAAATACCATCATTCATCTCTGGAGTTCTAAGTGGGAATAATTAAACCTTTAAACATTTAGATTTGAATAGGGACTTATGAACACATGCTTAGAACTGCTTTCTTATCAAAGAAAATAAAATTAGAGGTTAGAGAAATAACTTTAAATTACAATCCTTATGAACTAATAGCTTAACCTTAGTTTTGAATGACTTACTTTTTCTGTCTTTTTAAAATATTCTTAAATGTAAACACATGTGGGAAATGTTCTTTTGGCTTTTATCAAACTGACATTTAAGTGAATTTTTTCAGCCCCACTAAACATTTGTGGTAAAAGATTTCAAAGCATTGAATCTAACAATTTGCCTATGGATTTTTCCTCTCTGTTATTCTATTAACATTTGGTCTTAATAAGTATAACCTGTTCAGAATTACTGATGCCTTTTCATTTATTATTTGTTTAGATGAGAAAGTTAGGAAAGAACTTCATCAAACCCCCCACTTGGCAGTTATGAATGCTTTCTTAAGGAAGTTAAAATTTTTTAGTTTAACTGTAAATATTTTACTTGTGTAATCCCTCATATATCTTTCTTAATGAAATGTTCAAAATTGTTGATGTTTGTTTCCATGCTGTGGTCATGTTAGGAAAGCAGTTTGAGATCTTCCTATCCTCTGAGGTATGCTGAGCAATTTTTCTTCCCTGTGCCCAACACTGGGAAAAGGGAGTGACTTCTGTGAAAGTGGAAAACTAGAAATTTAGTTGGCTTTGTGGGCATTTTGCTGTTGGGAATTCTTATTTATAAGTTGGGTTTTTTAAATATATGAATGATTGGTGCTAAATATAGGGGATAATCATGAAATCTAGCCTCTGTTTTCTATGGATCATTTCCTTTATTTTGTTCATATCTGATTTTTTTTTTTTAATTGAAGTCCAATCCCTATGGATAACAATATGGAGGTTTCTCATAATGTTAAAAGTAGATACAGTACAGCAGTTCTGCTCCTTAGTATTGATCTAAAGAATGCAAAAGCTCTATTTTGAAGGGATATATGCTCTTCTATTTTCATTGTAGTATTGTTTGCAATGGCTAAATTATGGAAGCATCCTAAGTGCCCAATGATAGATGAGTAGATTAGGAAGATGTGGTATATACATACAAGGGAATACTATTCAGCTGTTAAAAAAGATGAACTCTTGCCATTTTTGACATCGTGGATTTTCCCACAGGGGACTATACTAAGTGAAATAAACAGAAGGAGAAATATAAATAACAGGGCCTCCCCGGTGGCGCAGCGGTTGAGCGCTGGGTTGCGAAGCTGCCCGCGGCCACTGCGGTGCCGGTTCGATCCCCGGCTGCTCCCCGGCCACCGGAGGAGGGTCCCACAAGGCGCGCAGACCTCTCCTGCCGCCCGCTGCTCCCCTCAGCAGTGTACTTCGGTCCTTCTGCCTGCTCTGCTCCCCTCTCTGGCTCTGGTGAATTCTCTCACCCTCCCGCGCTTCTGACTATACCCAGTGCATGTATAAACCAACCAACCAACCAAATAAATAAATAAATAAGACATGCCTCTAGAAAATTAAAAAAAAAAAAAAGAAATATAAATAACAGATGGTTTCATTCATATGAACTTTTTTTAATTTGAAGTAGTATTTGATAACCAAAAAGATTACATATTAAAGTTTTCTATTCTTTAGTTTTTTCTCTCCTTTTTTATTCCTTATTCTCTTTTTCTTTTATTTCCTTTGAAGGAATTGGCTTTTGAAAATAGATGGACCTTTATATGAGTCTAGCTATTGATCACTGTATTTACATTGTCGATTCACTTTCCCATCTACTTCATTGTCTAAGATCACTCTGACCTAATACCTGTTCTGAAAGTAATTAGAAGATAACATTCCCAAAACTATCACAACTCCATCTATCTGCACCTGTACCTATGTGCTTTGGCAATTTTTTTTTCCTATAGTTATTACATTAGCATTATTAGTGGCTTACAGATATTGCCTTCAAAGTTCCACAGGATTACTGTTGCATTCATTGGCATCTCAGGAATTTATAGATGGGATTCCAAGATAATTGGAGATATAGGAGTGGCTACAACTCCGTTTTCCATATCCCAATCTAACCATCTTTCCTTTTTATAGTATCTCCTTTTTTATATTTTGACATTCTATGAAATTTTTCATTTGCATGAAAGGATCTACTTATATACTTAAAGTTTTTAAAGTTTGGAAAATACTTTCCACGTCTGAGATCTTCCTTGAAAAATCAATTTCTCTCTTTGACCTACCTCCCCGAGCACTTATTGTGTACATAGCATACATTTTATTTTCTGGTAACTTGATATTTTCTAATTTTCTCTACTTTTTCGTATGTATTTATCCTTTTTGTCCCACCAAAGGTTGAAAATAATACATACCTATCCTTAGAAATCTACTATAGCAATCTAACAGAGGCATGTAGTAGGCGATATTGATTTGTGATCTAGATTAATAAGTGTCATCTAATTTAAGACTTATTTGAATCCATATCCATTGTCCCTTGACTGTGGGTAGTAGGAGTACTTGATTCCTCTTTTTTTTTTTTAAAGATTTATTTATTTATTCATACATACAAAAACTGGGGTACAGGCCAGATGCACGGGAGGGTGAGAGGATTCACCAGACAGTGGGGAACAGAACAGGCAGACTGACAAAATACACTGCTGAGGTGAGCAGCGGGCACGACAGGAGAGGTCTGCTGTGCCATGTGGGACCCTCGCCCGCCGGCCTGCTGGCCAGGATCAAACCAGCACTGCAGAGGCTGCAGACAGCTTCACAGCACAGGCTCAACCACCTGTGCAACCAGAGGAGGCCCTACTTGATTCATATTCTATGAAGTTTCATGTGTAGTGAATATGTAAATTTTCCTGGTGAGATATTCTACAGCTTATATCATATGCCAAAATAATGAAGCATCAAAGCTGTAGATCATCTTTCTCTGGGCCTTTATTTGGCAGATATAGAAATTGTGGAGCCTCCCTGGTGGTGCAAGGGGTTAAGACGCAGCACTATGAAGCTGTCAGCAAGCACTGCAATAGTAGTTTGATCCCTGGCCAGGGAGGTGATCCACATGGTGCAGCGGACCACTCCTGTCTCCCCCGCTGCTCCCCTCAGCAGTGTATTTTGGTAGATCTGCTTGTTCTGCTCCCCACTCTGTCTCTGGTGAATCCTCTCACCTCCCCACACCTCTGGCCTGTACCCCAGTTTTTATTGCATAAATAAATTTTTTAAAAAAGAAATTGTGTCATCAAGCAACTTCCTGGATTCATACAACTCACTATTTCCTGATACTTTAAATTACAAAGTATTAGTTTTTGTGATATCTAAAACTTTTAAAGCTAATAAAATATATGTAAGGATGCTAGAGATTGAAAATTAATGTAAGAAAATGTGCATTACTTAAAAACAATATATATGAGTTTTTATTTTTACCTTCTCTTTATTTGAGTGGTTAATTTTAAGCAGTATATAAATATTTAATTTGTATAGTTACATGGGAAAAATTTAAATGTGGGAATTTAACATTTATTTTTCATAAGTATTTTAATTCTCTTGTTTAACATAATTATATAATTCTAAAAATGCTACTAATTATGATTTACTATACTTCAAAATAGAGACATTTATATTATCACAACTGACAGATATTAATTTAATTTCTTGCTGTGATTTCCTTATAGGTTTGATGAACTTGTAAAAAAATTCAAAGTTGAATATCATGCTGGTGGCTCTACACAGAATTCAATTAAAGTGGCTCAGGTTGGTTAATTATTTTAAAAGTTATTGAGAAGTTGATTCAAAATGATTCTAGATTTTTGGTTATTGTACATAATTGTTCCAATCTTATTTTGTTGCTGCAGAGTGTTTTTTGTTGGTTTTGAATAGAAATTTTAGCAGTCATTGCCTGTCTAATTAACAAAAATTATTTTGACTGATATTTCTTTGGTTATTGGTAAACTTGAACATCTTTAAATATCTGCTCTTTATTTATATTTCTTAGTAATTATATTTTGAATCCTTTGAATATCCTTTTTATTTTATAATTTTTGTATATTATTGACTTCATCTTTGCAAATAGCATTCTTAAGTATTCTTTACTCTTATTTGTAATTTAATGCTGTATATAGTGTCTTTAACTTTACTTGAAGTTCTGAGTTTTTTTAAATATCATTAAACTTATGACTTCTGGATTTCATATAGTATAGATAGAAAGGAAATGCCTGTAACAATATACTACAAGTTTTCTTGTGGTATATAAAGAAATGCATGTATATCTATACATATAGATATATCTGTATACATGTAGATACATTTGTATCTAGGTGGCCATGTATCTTATCTGGGCATGTCATTTAATATATACATATATACACACATATATATACATACATGTGTATGTTCGTATAAGTTTATACGAACTTATATATGTGTATGTTCGTATAAGTTTATATATCTATACCTCTATTTCCCAGTGAGTAACTGGATAAACCTATTCACCTAATGCTATTTATGCCACTATTCTAATTCTGATTAAGGTTATAGTGTTCTGCTTAAATCTTCATTTATGAAGAATATGGGAAACCCTTATATACCTCTGCTTCTTACCTTTACAAATTAAAATCTGCTCAAAATCTCACGGCATTCATAGGTCAACTCTGATGAACTCGAGTCATTTGATTATTCATTCATTAATGCTTTCTGTTTGAATTTTAATTAACTTAAGGGACTAGAAAAGTGGAAAGTTGACAAAGTTGAGACCAATTTTTCTTCCTTTGAAGTAACTCTTTGTTGATTTAGACATAGTGTAATTATCCTGCTCTCTTCCAAAGCTATAATTTAATCATAGTATTAAAATATTTTAGATCATAAAAATTATTCTTTATGGTAGTTATTTTTTGTACAGTGATCTGAGGAGAAGATCTTTGTGTTTGTTAATTGATTTATATTGTTTTTATAAAATATCCTGTTGGTCACTTTGTGAGCTCAGGTTAATAGAAAAAGGACAATTTTCTTTTTTTGTCTTTTGATATTATGTTAGTCTGCTCAGGCTGCCATAACAAAATACCATGGAATGGGTGATTTAACAGAAATTAATTTTCCCACAGTCATTTAGGCTGGGGAGTCCAAGATCAAGATGCCATCTTGATTGATTTCTGGCGAGAACTTCTTTGTAGCTTCTTTTCATTATGTCCTCACAGTGCCTTTCTTTTCTGCCCATATGGAGAACAAGATCTCTGGTGTGTGTTCCTTTTCTTTAGAGGACACTAGTTCTATTGGGTAAGGACCTACCTACCCAGAGGACCTCATTTAGCTTTAATTATTTCCTTACCAGCCCTATCTCTAAATATAGTCACATTGCAGCTTAGGGCTTCAGAACATGAGTTTTCAGGGTGGTAGGGAAGGAGAAACACATAGTTTTATCCGTAACATGTCTTTTTTTAAAAAGCTTTAGTTTACTAAATGTATATTTTACCCTATTTTTATTCTTTTCTCCTTCTAGGTCTGGGGGACTATTAGCTGTCAACTAGTAAATTCTCTCCTTTCTTGAGAATCTTCATAAATTTCTACCTTCCCCAGATTTATTACTTACAAAATAAATATCGAGTGTTCTATCAATTTTCTATCGATATTGGTTATCATTTATAAAGCAGTCATTGCCTAACATTTTGTTTTGCAATTTTCACAGTGCTCTGTGTGTACTGAAATCATGTAGCCTATAATGCTTTATTTCTTCCTACCATTAGCAAGGAAGTAAATGGAATTTAAAGTTTTGGGTGTCTCATCTAATAATTTAATTTCGATATTAGTGATAAATTTGGGGTTGAAATCCTATCCTGATAGCTAGAGTAGCAATCTTTTATACCATATGCAGAACAATTCGATTCAGTTCATCACTTGGTATATTCATGCATATAAAGCTCTGTGCTATATGATAGATATATTGAGAAACAAGAAATATTCCTCTGTTCATGTAATCCCTGCTTACATTATGAAACCATTTGTCTTCTCTTTAATCACCATCCTAACTTTATTTTTCCTCTTCTTCCCTTTTTCATCAATGATTAAATTCCTCCTGTCAGGTAGTGTGTTAAATGTTATTCATGCAAAAGCTAATAATATACTTAGTCCATATTCTTGAAACTTTCATTATAATGAAAATGTATGTGAGAATGGAGAGTGGTGGGGTACAGAGAGAGAACTGTAAACTATTAAATATAATGAATGTATAGGAGCAACTCTTTTCACCCCTAAAACATAAACAAATTTACGAGAAATACAACAGTATTCATACATGTTCTTTCTCCATTAAATTAAAATGTGAAGGCAAAACCTCTTATCCCAAGTACAGCTCCACTGTGATATTCAATTCCTAGTTGAATCATACTTATTTCCATTTTACCAGTAGAATTTTAATCACATGTCCCAAATTTAAGGACATCTTAAATTTGAATGAGAGTAACTCAAAGAGATACCTGTGAGTTAAAGTTTTTCTCTATTCAACTTGAGCCTCCCACCCCACAACCAAAGACTAGCTTTTCAGTCTTTTTTTCTAAGATTTTTTTTTCCAAGCTGTCAGTGGAATCTCTCAGCGCTATCATAAGAAGACAAAGTAATATTAATACTACATTTTTTTTTAAAGATTTACCCATTCATGCATACAAGAACTGGGGTACAGGCCAGATGCAGGGGAGGGTGAGAGGATTTACCAAAGACAGAGCGGGAAACAGAACAGAGGCAGACTGACCGAAACACACTGCTGAAGGAAGCAGCGGGCAAGACAGGAGAGGTCTGTCGCGCCGTGTGGGATTCTCGCTGGCCAGCTGGGAGCGAACCCACACCGAAGAGACTGTGGACAGCCTCACAGCGCTGCGCTCAACCACCTGAGCCACCAGGGGAGGCCCACTTTTTTTTAAAGATTTATTTATGTGTGCAAGAGCTGGGGTACAGACCAGAGATGCAGCGGGTGAGAGGATTCACCAGAAACAGAGCAGGGAGCAGAACAGGCAGACTAACTGAAATACACTGCTGAGGAGAGCAGTGGGAGAGATAGGAGAGGTTTGCTTCACCATGTGGGTTGCTCCCTGGCAGGCTGGGGATCGAACTCATGCTGCAGAGGCTGTGGGTTGCTTCATAGTGCAGCGCTTAACCCCTTCGCCACCAGGGAGGCCCTTAATACTACATATTTTGCTTTAAAAGCAGCAATTCTGCTTTTGTCTGTTTTGTATATTGGCTTTTTTGAAAGATTTAATCTGCCCACCTCATGTACATTAGGATGGCTGCTCTTAAATAAGCATAAAATAACAAATGTTGCCAAGGATGTAGAGAAATTAGAATCCTGTACATTATTGGTAGGAATGTCAAATGGTACAGTTACTATCCCCATTCCTAAAAACATTGTAAATACAAATAGCATCTGGTCCAGCAATTCTACTTCAAAGTATGCTAAAAACTAAGTGGTTGTGCCCTTCAAATTCATTTATTGAAGCACTAACCCCACATTGTGTTGGTGTTTGCAGATGGGGCCTTTAATAATTATCGGGTTTAGATAAGGTCCTGAGAGGTCCTTAGGAGAGATTATAAGAAGAGACCAGAGAACCTGATCTCTCTCTGCCACAGGAGGATACAGTAAAAATGTAGCCATCTGTAAACAAGGAAGAGACTCCAGGAGCCTTGATCTTGGATTTCCCAGCTTCCAGAACTGTGATAAATACATTTCTTTCCTTTCAAAAGTCTTTTAGTCTCCATTATTTTATTATGGCAGTCCAAGTTTACCTGTGATGTTTATGCTGGCATGGTAAACATTTATGTTCATTTTTTAGTTTTAAAAATGTACACATATGGTATTTTTCTTTTTCTTTCTGGCTTATTTCGCTAAGCATGATCCCTTCCACCTCCATCCGTGTTGCTGCAAATTGCATGAGTTTATCTTTTTTGATTGCTGAGTAATAGTCTATTGTGTATATGTACCACATCTTCTTGATCCAGTCCTATATTTTGGGGCGTTTGGGTTGTTTCCATAGCTTAGCTACTGTAAATAGTGCTGCTATAAACAAAGGGGTGCAGGTGACCTTTTGAATTAATGTTTCTCATTCATAGCAGGAATTTAGAATAAGGGACCAGGAAAAAGACAATTATAATAAAGTAAAATCAAAGTCAACACGCAACTATAAATCAGAGACACACTACTGGGGCGGGGACGAGGGAGTAGGATCAAAACAAGGGGGGGTGGGAATTGTATGGGGACTATAACCAAGATGAAAATGCATACATTGTGCAAAAAATGAAAAATGATGTAAAAATATATATAATAAAACAAAACAAAATGTACACATAAGCTTAATGTGATTTTTTTTTTTAAAGAAATGGGAGGTATTCACTTATCTACACATGTGCCTAAAAGATGGCAATAATTGTTGCTGAACTTAGGAAAGATGCCCTGCAGGAAGATATTTTTAAAATGTGAAACAAAAAGAATGACCATGTCCAATGTGGCAATATAATGAGAATAAGAATGGAGAAAAAGATGAAGGTTAAACAGAAATGTATATGCAATTTCTCCAAAAGAGCTTGATCATATTTGAAGAGACCATAAAGAAGCTAGAAAATAATCATACAGGGCCTCCCCGGTGGCGCAGTGGTTGAGCGCTGGGTTGTGAAGCTGCCCGTGGCCTCTGCGGCGCCGGTTCGATCCCCAGCTGCTCCCCGGCCACCGGAGGAGGGTCCCGCGTGGCGCGCAGACCTCTCCTGCCGCCCGCTGC